ACTGTGTTTCTGATTTTTCCCTCCAGTGGTTGACTTTAAGAATTACATTCCTAATGTTTGATCTGACTATTTAATGCTCTTAAAATATATTGTCATTTCCTCAAGAGGATAATTGCTCTCTACCTTCTGTCGATCAGGGTGTGGATGCTGCGATAGCAAGCCGCAGAGAGAACATGTAATACTTAATTTTTATTTCTTCCTGTTTCATAAACTTTGATTAGAAAAACAAAACCGAGCATGTTGACATTGTCTCCCTCCCCTCTCGTCTCCAGTAAATGATACACTGCACCGTGCGGCCCTGCGCTGAGTTACAGCCCGCACACGAAGCTCGTCTCTCGCGGTTAGAATTCAGGAGGCGTGAGCCCGGAATAGCTCTCCTAAGCATTGTCTATAGATCAAGTGGTGTGATCACCATTCGCACAGAACAGAAATGGGTATATCTCAGCTTTATAACTTTGGCCGAGTTTTATATTTTTCATTTAGTTACCTCCTGGAAAGTTTGAAATTTCAAAGATGTCAGCAAAAATATTGATTATGAAGGGGTTTCAGGTTTATAATGACACATGATATTATGCATTTTCTAGTTCCACAGTCCCCCGCCTCCAAATTGAGTATAAAAACTGTCTGCAGAGGAGATTTATTCTCACTGATTCTTTTTTTTCTTGCACAGAATCCTTAAACATGGCAAGTAATGTGTAGACTGAATATATTAACATGAGGTTGTAAATATATTTTTAAGGTTACAGTTATAACTTTTTAAGTGTGATGGAATGTCTTTTTACTCTCCTCAATAAAATCTATCATTTATTGTACCAAAGCCTTTATGACTGAGCAAATGACAGTCCTTTTGCTGAAGCAATGCTGAGCCAGCCACTGTATTAGTCCACCCTGACAGTCTTTCCCAAGCTGCTTCCATATTTGGGCTTCATTTTTCACTCAGGAACAGGGCACTAATGTCACTAAGCTTAGTAAGTTGATTGTGCAGTTTTCCTTAATTTTGGTTTATTGGTTATAAATTTTTGGTCACTGTAAAGTTCACCAACTTTACTCATTAAAACATGAGTAATTATAGAAAATTAAAGAAGCTAGAAGAGATGTTGATTATTCTGGTCTGATTTTTTCCATCTTAAAAATTATGACATCGAATTCTACCTAGAGAAATGACTGTCACAAAAGAAGTCATTTATTACCGTTGGGGTCTCAGCTAAAACCTCTGACTTGGGATATCGTCACCATTGTTCTTTGCACGACTGTTAGCGCCTAATAAGGTGCAAACAGTCACTACATAAACATTTTTTAATATAAATAAATGTGAGTCTTTAATCTCAAAATATAAAGAAAATATTCTGTATTTTTTATTACTTAGATATAATTTTATTCAAAATTAACTCAATTTTAAGCTATGCTTAGCTATTAAGGTGAAAATATTTTATCAGGAAAATATTTAAAAAATTAGAGTCTGTATATTTTAAAAGATACTACAAGATTATAAAGAATAAAAGAAACCAGTAGAGAAGCCTCATCACTTAGTGAGCATTTTGATATATTTCTTCCAAGTCTTTTTTTTTTTTCTCCACTTGGATCCTTTTCAGTCAGTGGTATCAGTTTTGGTGTTTGCTTTGTAACATTGTAAGCATTTTTCTTTTCATCAGGTTTCCTCTGAAAGAGTAATTTTTAATGGTGTGTAATAACAATTTGTTGTTTGGATGTATCACAAAGTGTTCATCTCTCCCTCTTACTGACCTCTTAGGTAGTTTTCAATTTTGTCAGTTATAAACCATGCTGAAGTGGGTCACTGGATATACTTTGTGTCAGATTTGCTGGTGACTTGTTAGCTCAGGGTTGATACCTGGGTGTGCACCTCCAGGCTGCTCAAAGAAGCTTGTTTCGGGACCTTTGTGGCCACGTGCCACTCTGAATTTGCTTATGCCTGGGGGGCGGGTTGGTGGCCGGGAAGGCACTGAATTTGCTTATGCCTGTGTGGGGGGGGGGGTTGGTGGCCGGGAAGGCACCAGGTGTTAGGCTGGTGGGATCAGACTGGACCTGTACTTGAGTTCTCGCTAGGAAAGAATTCAGAGCCAAGACTCAAACTAGAAGGGAACATTTATTTAGAAAAATCACAGAGGTAGAAAAAGTAATTTGTAGAAGAATTGGGCTTAGGAAACAAGCTACGGAAGTAAGGGAAGGGCCCTTGGAGCTTAGAAGTGAGGGAGGTAAAGGTGACTTGCTGGGGAAGGTGGAGAGAGGGGGGGCTCCCAGGAGAGAGAGCACACTGGGTCCTCTGTCCGAAGGGTTTGAAGGGTGGTGATTTTAGGGGAGGTCCCAAGGGAAGCTCTCAATAGAATACTCAGCAGCTTTCCACGTGTGTCCTTTCAGGGTCCGGGGCCCTACTGACTAGTCGGTCAGTGCCAGAATAGGGGGTCACTAGTCTGTGCAGCTGGTCCTAAGATCAGCCATGGGGTCACCTGTCTGGCTTTGCTGCTTTTCTGGGCCTGGGGCTGAACTACATCTGAGGCTTGTATGCTATCTCTAGGGAGGGAAGGTCAGGGGATCCAGACAGCAGGGCCAGCTACACCTGCTAGGGGAGGAAAGGTCATCCTGGGGGAGAGGGCCCACCCTGCGGTGGTTCTTTGCTAGTACCCGGGGTTTCCACCCTGGACCCTCTGTACCTGGCCCATCGTGCTTGCTCTGCTCATGTCTGCCTGACTGCCTACCACATGCCAGCTACCTCACTTTTAAAAACCTTTGCAATTTTGATGAAAGAACACAGTATTGTATTTTAATTGGAATGTTTTTTTTTTTGGTTCGATATTGTTTGTTTTACTTTTTTTTTATTAAAAAGTTTTGTTTGTTTTTTTATCCTCACCCAAGGATATTTTTTGATATTTTGTTCAGATAGAGTGGGAGGGAGAGAGAAACATCGACGTGAAAGAGACACATCGAATGGCTGCCACCCACACGACCCAACCAGGGCCGGGGACAAACTGCAACTGAGGTACGTGCCCTTAGCGGGAACCGAACCCGGGTCTCTCTGGACTTCAGGCCGACGCTCTAACCGCTGAACCAAATCTGCAAGGGCTACTAAAAAGTTTTAATGTTGACATTATTGCAGTCGTCTCGTTTTTCCCCCACTTTGCCCACCCCCACTTACCCCCATCTCCCCCTCCGTTCCCTCCTTGGCCTTCACCAAACTATCTCTGTGTCCATGGGGTATGCATATATGTTCTTGAGCTAATTCCTTCACCTTCTTCATGCAGTCACCCCAGCCCCCAGCCCCGGGGCCTGGCCAGTCTATTCCAGAGTTCCAGTTCCAATTTGTTTGTCAGATTATTCTGTTCATTAGACTCCACATATGAGTGAGATCATATGGTCTTTGTCTTTTTGATCACCACGTGTTCTCGGTCTCCTGGTTGTTGCTTTAGTAACAGCTATGGGGAGAGGCCAAACACTATACAGCAATATACTTTGATCGCAAGAAGCATTAAAATGAGGGAAGATGTGAGTCTTACAACCAGGGAAACGGACTCCGACTGTTCATGAATGCTCATTGAGCGTGTCGTGCGTTTTCTGGTTCCCTCTAGTGTTTATGAGGTAGGTATTATTCCTCCCATTTCATGAATGAGGAAACTCTGTTACAGAGGTGCAGTAAGTAGCCCAAGATCAGTGTCGCTTGAAAATGACCAGAGAGCTGGGTTTCAAACACAGGTGGACTTGACCTGAGAAGCTCTGGGCCCCCCCCCCCCCACACACACACACATAGCAGGCTCTGAAATGTGAATCTGCATGAATCAGGATTTTTTAAAAAATTCACATATATCAAAAGAAAATTAGATGTCACATGGGTATTTTTGTTTTAATGCATTTTTAGAATAACTAAGTAGACAAAGTGAAAATGTACTGGAGTTGTATGATGGGGTGGTACCGTGTTAACACTTGCGTATCCGTACACTTGTGCATGGCACTGCCTTGGAGGGAGGTCACACTCGCCTTGGACCCACTGTGAAGGGTGCCCCTGAAGTTGACGAGTGTGATGGAGAACGTTTGGCCCAGGTGCCAGTGGCGTCTTTATTGACCAATGTGGGCGTATTTTGGAGAATGTGGGGTTCAGAGTAGAAATGTCCTGGGTTCACCATTCGGGTCTGTCACTGGTTAGTATAATCTTGTGCCATTAACGTAACTCTTTTGCACCTCAGTTTTCTCACTTTCTTATGTTGACATCCCCACTCCCCCAAATCAGGTAGCTGTAGCATTGCCACTTTATTTATAGAAACTCTTCATTGTTGTTCAAGCTGCCAAAGGCACATAGTTACAAAGCCTAGCGAGGAAGCTAGATCATGGATACATACTCTTTTTAGGCTAGTCCTGCCTTGGGGGTGGCTGGATTGTGACCTCTTCTAATACATGTTTGCTTCTTGGAACATTGTCGTGATGCGTGCTTTGTAACAATGCGATGCAGTCACCTTCTCCGTCTGTGTGTGAGGGCGCGTGGAAAGCCCAGTTCCACACCTGGACACTAGATTTGCATATTGTTAAACTATAAATAACATTCAGCATTATCGCAGTGATATCTGGAGGGTGTTTCTTTCTCTGTAAGGTCAATATTTTATAGAGCACTGTACACATCTTTCTGTTAGGTTTTTAATTTTTAAATAAGTGTTCAACTCATGTAAGTTGGTTAATTATATAAATGTATGTGGCATTCTTTATTCTTATATTGAACTGAAAGCTATTTTGTGTTGATATCTCTATTTTAAATTTTTGGTTCGGTGTGACACGAACAATTTAAGTGGCGACAGACGTGTGAGCTCTTTTAGGTGGTTTTTTTAAAGAAAGACAAAAAACCTCCTTTTTTTGGGGGGCCAGGCATCTCAAAAGTTAGGGGTGTAATAAAGGACTTCTTAGAATTCCTTATAGGTTTAAATATAATGAGCTAAATTACTTTGATATTGGTGGCATACATGTATTAAGCAACTTACATTTTATTTTTCTGTCATTTTTAGGATTCTGAGTAACAATAAAATATCCGAGCTGAAGAACGGCTCCTTTTCTGGGCTAAGTCTCCTTGAGAGATTGTGAGTATGCTTTTATTGTCACCTTTTACTGTTCTTTTGCACAATGCATTTTTACTGTAAATCTACTAAACTCCCAACTTTTCAGAATACAAATTTAGTTTTCCAACATATTGTTAGGAGAAATTTCAAGAATTGAATTTAAAAAAACAACTAGTCATGATTTCACTTATATGTGGAGTCTGAAAAACTAAATAAACGAGCAAACTCCACAGAAACAGACTCATGGAAACAGAACAAAGTGATAGTTGCCAGATTGGAGGGGGTTGAGGGGATGAGTGAAGAGAGTGACAGGGATTAAGAAAAGAAGTAGGTAGGAGCCAGACAGGTACCAGGCTTATTGGGGTGATAACTTCGTAAGGTATATAAGGTATGTAAATTAGATGTACACTTGAAACTAATATAATATGTCAACTGTAATTGAAAAATAAATAAAAAAAGGAACTAGTTAAAGCAAAGTTTGGCAAATTTCTTTGAAGGGCCAGACTTAGGCTCTGTGGACCATACGACCTTTGGCACAGTGACTCGATCCTGCTACTGTCGTGAGAGAGCAGCAATAGACCATAAAGAAATGAATTGATGTGGAGGCGACGCTATTTTCAGAACAGGCCGTGGTTTGCTGACTACTGGCTTTTTATTTATTTATTAAAAAAAAATCCTCACCTGAGGATATTTTTCCATTTACCTTTCAGATAGAGTAGGAAAGGGAGAGAGAGAGAGAAACAGTGATGTGAGAGAGACACACTGACTGGCTGGCTGTCTCTCCCACCACCCTGACCAGGGCCAGGGACCGAACCGCAACCGAGGTACTGCCCTTGGCTGGAATCGAACCCACGACTCTTTGGTCCGTGGGCTGATGCTCTAATTGTTGCGCCAAACCGGCCAGGGCTGACCACTGGCTTTTCGAGTGTAGGTGCTATTTTGAGGTTCTGCCATGACATGTGTTCACCTCATAAAATAGCCAAGTATAATTAAAACAAACAAACAAAACCACCAAGGGGAAAAACTTTAGGGTAAATGTTGGTGTTTTATCCTGAGGCCTCTGAATGTGATCCTGTGTTTTGCTTAGCAGTTAGGTCTGGTGTTGCTATGATCACAAGAGGTAGAAGCACCGCTCACCCTCCACTCCGGGTGCAGTGTACACAAGTGGATATTTAATTTGCTTCTTTTCCGAACGCTGTGCTGGGAGTGTGTTTCCGATTCCCCTGTTCCCCGTACACGTAGGATAACATTTCAGAGTACATCAGGGAGCCACACTGTGAGCATCTTTTCTGCTGAAAATCACACTTTGCTCATTTCCTGAGGTCTGTTTGTTGTGCTCACTTTCTCCACCCCAGGCGACCTTCCCTTCGCCCCTGCACCAGGGGCTCCCACGGGACCTGCTGCTGCACCGCGGGCGTGTTGTTCAGGCATAGCCCATCGGTCCTGGCCCGCCCAGTCCCCGCATACAGCCACATTCTGAGATACAGGGGTTAGGACCTCGGCGTAGGAATTGAGGGGGCCACAATTCGGCCTCATGTTCCAACCATGTTGTTCAAGGTTGAGCTGTATATTCTTATTAAAAGAATTGTTTAAATTTTTTTATTAATATATTTTTGTTACAGATGTTTCTCCTTTTACCACCCCCAAGACACCCTCCTCCCGATCCCGTCCTGTCAAAATTAAAAATAAAAAATTTTTTTTCTGTATTGATTTTAGAGAGAGAGGAAGGGACAAGGAGAAAGAGATAGAAACATCGATGAGAGAGAACATCGATTGGCTGCCTCCTGCTTGCCCCCCACTGGGGATCAGATCCACAACCTGGGCATGTGCCCTGACCAGGAATCGAACTGGCGACTCCTTGGTACATGGGTCGACGCTCAACCACTGAGCCAAACTGGCCAGGCTAAAATTTATACATCCTATAAAACTTTCCCTCACTTTTTTTGGTAAATGTTTTTTTGTGTGTGTGTGTTCTAGACTTTTTATAATTGAGAACTTCTATGATTTATCCATTCCCATGCACCCATTCATCCATCCTCCTTTCCTCCTTCCCACCTTCCCTTTTCAGTGTATAATATTGTCATTCTTGTGTGGGGGGATGCAGTTGCCAGAATGTAGTGACACTTTCCTGTACTCTAATCACTGACACTAGAATTGCCTGGTGGTCAATGTGTCTGACTCTTCAGTGCTCGTTGCACCACGAATGATGGGCCTTGGTGACCAAAGCATCTCTTTCTAGTCTCCATTCTTTTCTATGACTTTTTTGCTGGAGGTGATTTTTGCACCTGAGGTATGATGTCATGACTGAAGGTCAGCCTGAAGGCAAACTTGACTTTCTGAGAACGGGGTTCTGAGGAACAAATGGAACCAACCACTAAGGCTGCCTTACATCTCGATTTCCTGTAACACCAGGGGATTATTATCATTGTTTTAACTGTTGAAGCTGTTTTGATTAGAGGTTTCTGATACTTGTAGTTAAAAAGTGTCTCTCCTCATATACTTTGTATTCTTGCCTAAAGGAGCTAGCTCTTTTTCAAGAACTGTTTAAATATTTCTCTAATTTCACTTGTGCAGTTTCTGTGCACCTTTTTTCATTTATGTTTTCATGACCTCACATATGTAGATTCAGCTGCACATCCTAACATTAGCCTTCTGTTCACGAGGGAAGCTGTGGGTTGGTGAGGGGAATGTTAAATGTGATGATCTGACTATAAATATCTTTTGGCAATGCCTGATTAATGTGGCTATTATTAAATGTTATATAACATGTCAAGCACTTTTTATTATTAAATAAAAAGTGTATCTTTAAATCATATTATACTACTTAGTTATTCATGAGAGGTATTTTCTAGAAACACATGCAGTGCATCATTGACCGCAAATTTATGTAGTGCTTTAGCTAAGTCATTTCCTGTTGGAGACAGTTTTTAAAATCTGAAAAAGGAAGCCTATTTAAAAAGAAAAATAGAACTGACATTATATATTTCCATTTGCGGAGATTTTTAGCTTATGCAATACAAGTCACACACACACTGATTGAATTTCCTCCAGAAATCTTCTTTGAGGTGTAGGACTGGGAGCAGTTGGGGAGCAGGAGATAGGAACTAATACATCGGGCCTGATGATGAATCGTACGTCCTGGGACTTAAAAAGTTGAGGACAGAAACTAATTTTTACTATGACATTTACAAACATATCCCAAAATTGGAAGAATAATGTTGTAATCTCCCATCTCACCAATTACTTACCCAGGTTCAATAATTATGAACTCTCTGCAGTCATTTTTTTCTTTGTGTTGGAATATGCCCACACATACATGCGCTTACTAAATTATTCGAAGGTCAACTGCAGACATCACGGCCTTCACCTTTACAGAGGTCTAAGTACTGTGAGTGACATGCAGTTGTCTCCACATTGTCTGACATGATGAATATTCTAATGATGTCATGGCTAACCATAAGTTACTGGAAAGATTTTTGTAGTAAAGTTTAGGTTAATACAATTCTGTCTCTCGGCCATGGTGTACATTTTCATCCATTTATCGTCTGCTCAGTCTGTTCTGGCTTGTATAACAAAATACCAGAAACTGGGTAGCTTATACCAACAAACATTTATTTCTCACAGTTCTGGAGGCTGGGACGTCCCAGATCAAGGCACTGGCAGATTGGTGTCCAGTGAGGAACCTCGTCCTACTTGACCATCTTTTTGCTGAAACCTCACCTGGTAGAAGGGGGAGAGGGAGCTGTCTGAGGTCTCCTTTATAAGGCCATTCATCTCCTTCATTAGGTGTCTGTTCTGATGACTATTGCCCCCCAAAGCCCCACCTCCAAATTCCATCACCTTGGGAGTTAGGTTTTTAATGTATGAATTTGGGGGAGGGGGACAAACATTTAGACCATAGTACTATCCGTCCACACTCTACATACTAAGTCTCTCTTTCTCTATTTCTCTCTCTCTCTCTCTCTCTCTCACTGAACAGACAGGTGAGGGAAATATGAGTCTTTCTATACACATCTCAAAATATGACTCTTGTATATGAAGAGAGAGCGACTGCGCGAGAGGGTGTGGGGTCAGAAAGCGAAGGGAGAGCTGGACAGGAAGATGTGCAAGGTGGGCCACGGATAACCTTTAAGTTACCTTGAAGAGTCTGAACTGTCTTCTGAGGGGAGTGTGGAGCTCCTGCAGGATTTAACCAGCACAGAGACAGGATCAGAGTGAGGTTTACAAAGAGGTAAATGGAGAGCGGAGGCAAGAAGCAAGGGTGCAAGTCGGTGTGTGTGTGACTTGGACCAAGGTGATGACTGTGAATGAGGAAGCTGGTTGATACCATGTAGAGTTTCTTCAGCTTTTTATAAAATTTTTCAAACATACAAAGAAGTGGGAAGAACAGTATCTCTAGCACCTTGATTTAATTGTGGCCAACTTTTTGGATTGTTTGCTTTATCTCTCTCCCTCTTGCGCTAGGTATAAATTTTCTTGGTTCCTTAATCTTCACTGTGACAATCAAAAGATGTGTGTACATCCTGATGTCTGGCTTGGCCACTAATTAACTCCAAGATCTTGGCCAGATTTGATAATATTTCTTTGTCTGAAACTACAGCAATACCTTCTAGGATTGATTGTGAGGTCTTAATGGGATGAGAAGTGACAGATACTAACTCACTGATTTGAGTGATTTGTATAACTGAGCCCAGTTATAGTGAGAGCTGGACTTCAGGCTTGGCTGGATCCAGGGGCTCAGCATTTATTCTCTTTTCCTGTTTGTTGGCTTCACCAGACAGGCTCTTCTCTCATGGTAGCAAGAGGGTCATCAGTTCCAGGTTTACATCTTGACCGCTAATCAAACCAATGGAAATGGCTGCTCCCTGACCGCTGTCTATCTCCTCACCCCAGCTCCTAGGTTTCCTTAGACCAAGGTCATGTAATTATGACAATTACTAGGGCCAGACTGTTTGGAAATTCAGGACGGGGGTTGATGAAGTGCCACATCTGGAGAGGTGGTGTTGAGGATTCTAGGCACTCTCTGGTGTGTGACATATGCGTGGGAAAGTAGGGAAAACAGGGAGAAGGTGCACAAACAAGGGCAAAAGCTATGCTTAGCACGGCGACTGCACATGAGGTAGTTGATAACAAGTATAGCCGTTATCATGGTTCAATTCTGGAATCTGTGACAGCTGCAGTCTTCTATAGGACTGTAGTTTAGTGATGACTGAATTTGAATAACATTAGGATACAAACTACTTTTTTGACATGCGCCTTTGCTCTTCTGTTAACCACAACCCATAGCCTTGCAGCCAGCTTCCTGGAACGTGAAGTCTGGCTTGGCACCTCCACTGGGCTGATCTTGGTCGAAGCGTTCTGCCTTCGGTTTCCTCCCATTACTCTATGATTGTTTTCTGCGTGGAGTTAAGCGCAGTGTGCTGAAATATTTGTGACCGTGTTCCTATATAAATAACGTTTTCTTTTCTTTTCAACAGGGATCTCCGAAATAATCTTATTAGTAGTATAGATCCTGGTGCCTTTTGGGGACTGTCATCGCTAAAAAGATTGTAAGTGTTTGAATTGCTCACTTAGGAGTTTGAACCGCTTCTTTTATAAGTCAGCTGGTCATCGACTTGAAGGTTTCACATGATAAAAAATGGGTTTTTAACAGTTTCGAGAGGTTCACCTGGCCAGGTCCCTGATAGGAAACAGAGAAGATTTAATATAAATCACTGAGAAGGCAGTTAGTTTGTGTAGCGACTTGATCTGCTGGCTGGTTGTGTCCCTCTCATGCTAATAAAATCATTGCCGTATTGGCTTTGTCAGCTGCCAGTCATCCGCAGCCGACTTTCAGGTACGAGTGCATTCACATCGCAGCTGTTCTAACTGCCGCATCCAGTGGGGTGCCTTTGCACTAATGATTTAAAGTGTTGCCGTTTTCCTGTGTACGTCATGTATTATTACTTCAAAACCTGAAGGCCAGTTTTAACTCGAAGCTGGAAACTCCTTCCTGTGCACTGTGTCGCAGTCGTGGGGACGCGACCCTCTGCTGACGCCAGCGCTGTCTGCCGAGCCCTCCTCAGGGCATCGTCATGGGCTGGCTGCTCGCCTGCTCTGGCTTCTCGGGCACAGCTTGCAGACTCGCGGGACAGGTAGAGGGGATGAACGCACATCGAGTATGCTCTGCCCGATCAAATGGGAACAGTCTGCCAAGGAGAGGCGGCGCCACCCGAGAGGAGCCTGGCCCGCCCAGGAGCAGCCAGCGTGCAGATTGGACCTTGCCCCGTTGAGGAGTAACGGAAGAGTGGGCCGAGGTGCGAACGCGTGTCTCGGGGACAGAGTTTGCTTCCTGGCCATAGACTGAAGTAGCAAGGGCACCGAGAATGCTGGCAGGCTGGCTGGGGCCGGGCCGGGCAGGAGGAGGCTTCCGTAGGCTTTGAAGACCTCCCGCCATGTTAAAAAGTTTCCAAATCTATTGTTTAGAAGGGGGGATGGGGTGGGACGGGCAGAACTTTATGAACATGACATTGACATGATCAGATTTGTGTTTGAGAATATTTCTAATGGCAGTGAGGAGAAACCACTCGAGTGCAAAGAATCAGGGACAAAAAATGTTGAGGAGAGATACCAGCTCCATGCTTTCATTATTTTTTTTTCTTTATTGATTTTATTTTATTTATTTTTATTTTTTATCTTCACCCGAGGACATTTTTTGCTCAGACAGAGTGGGAGGGAGAGAGAGAGACAGAGAGAGAGAAACATCGACGTGAAAGGGACACATCGAGTGGCCGCCACCCGCACAACCCAACCAGGGCCGGGGACAAACTGCAACCGAGGTACATGCCCTTAGCGGGAACCGAACCCGGGTCTCTCCGGACCACAGGCCAACACTCTAACCGCTGAGCCAAACCGGCCAGGGCTCTTTATTGATTTTAGAGAGAGATGAAGGGAGAGGAAGAGAGAGAGAGAAACATTGAGAGAGAACATTGCTTGGCCTCCTCCTGCATGTTCCCCACTGGGGATCGGGCTCACAACCTGGGCATGTGCCCTGACTGGAAATCGAACCCGCGACCTTCTGGTGCATGGGTTGATGCTCAACCACTGAGCCACACCTGCTGGGCGCCTTCATTCTTTTTAATAGTCACCTTTTTAGCCCCTGTCTCTGTCTCTATCTCTTTTTTGGTTCTGTGATGCTTTCTTATTATTTACGTTTTTTAAAAAAGTTCAAGGTGCCACCTGACCGGTGTGGCTCACTGGTTGAGCTTTGGCCCATGCACCAAGAGGTCACCAGTTTGATTCCAGGTCAGGATACATGCCCAGGTTGTGGGCCTGATCCCCAGTGGGGAGCATGCAGGAGGCGGCCAGTCGATGTTCTCCCTCATTGATGTTTCTATCTCTTCCTCTAAAATCAGTAAAGAAAAATAAAGTAAAAAGTTCAAGTTGCCTGCATATTATTTATGTCTTACTTGTTTTCCATGGTGTCTGTGCAATAAAACTGGCTATGTTTACTCTTAGTGTAGTCATGCATGACTGACTTTCACGTTGATGCTGACCTTCCATCTAATGCTTTGGACTTCTTGTAGCTATTACTCTGTCAGTTAATGTCTGCTCATATTTATAGTCAGATCCATTTGTAAGAGTTGGCCATGCTAATTTTTCAAATTTTTTTTTGTTACATTTGCAAGTAAAATTATCTTTCATTAAAAACTTCTTCTCTCCAGGTCTCCTGTTAGTCTGAAGGTTCAGAATTCCCCTCTTGGGCAGTCTTAAGGTTTAGAATGCTGGAAGATTAGGAGTAGTGGGAATTAAAGTGTTCTCGCTAGTCTTGTGAAGTTTGAAATTCCGGGCAGAATCTGTCAAAGGGAACTTATTGCCATGGTCTTTGTTGAAGGTGGGGTGGTGGCTCAGGGTGTCCGCATGGACTGATGTGCCCTCAGAGTCCTCAGATGCTCAGGGATGCGTGGAGGAGGCTGGGTTTCTTCCCCATTCATACGACTCTTCACTGTTTTCCAGTCAAGGTTTTTTAATGAAACAAGTCAGAAAATCTGGCCCGTCTTGGGTAGATCAGTGGGGTATGAGACCGGAGTTCTAGAAAAGGGGGATGAGGGTTGGAGGGTGGTAGGCATTAGGTAGGATCAGAGCTGCAGTGGGCAAGCAGTGTAGAGTTCAGAGTAGTGGTAGCAACTAGGTTTAGCAACACAAAGTGGTGAGGCAGACCAGCCTCAGTTAAGTTGTGTACAAACCCCACAGTGCGCCAGGCTCCAGAGAGACACAGGTAATCCCGGAACCCCTTGAGGGTGTGCAATATAGTGAAATCGTATCCCCAACCAGAAGCCTGGATGCGGACTTGGAGTCTGCTTACAGAGAGGTGGAGCCATGGCTGGAGTTTAGCTGTTAAGAGGATCGGAAGCTGTTGGGGTCCAGCCAGACTGACAAAGGCCGGGGTGTCGAGCGGGCCATGAGCAGGCAGCACACCTCTCTGGAAAGTGTCAGAGAGTGGAGGGCTGGGGCCAAAGGAGCTTGATTTATACCAGCAGCTCACTTTCTTTTCTTTTTAATTTTTATTTATTGATTTTTAAAGAAAGAGGAAGGGAGAGGGAGAGAGAGATACAAACATCGATGAGAGAGAACCTTGATTGGCTGCCTCCTGCATGCCTCCCACTGGGGACAGGGCACACAGCCTGGGCATGTGCCCTGACTGGGAATCGAACTGGTGACCTCTTGGTGCATGGGTTGACGCTCAAACACTGAGCCACACCGGCCGGGCAGCTGCTCACATTCTTTGTGCTTCTTACTAGGGGCAGACAGACTCTGTGTTCGGATGGGTCAGTTCGAACCTGTCCTGCAAACAGGAAGCCTAGATAGGAAGCCAGGAACCCTGGGGCCAAGGTCCAACCATCTCTGTTTTCACTGTCCCTCTTGGTGATTCTGACACTAAAGAGTGAGAACTTCTAGAATATGTGAGTAATTTTCTCCAGATTTTTTTCCCAAGGGGAAGGCTGCGACGTCATACTGCCAGACAAGGTCACTGATTTTGCACTGTGTGATCCACACCACTGTATTCATAGCTTTTTGTTTTTTTTGTTTGTTTGTTTGTTTTTTATCCTCACCCGAGGATATTTTTCCATTTGTTGTACAGATAGAGTGGGAGGGAGAGAGGAAGGGAGAGAGAGAGAGAAACATCGACGTGAAGGGACACATCGAGTGGCTGCCACCCGCACGACCAACCAGGGCCGGGGACAAACTGCAACCGAAGTACGTGCCCTTAGCGGGAACTGAACCCGGGTCTCTCCAGACCGCAGGCCGATGCTCTAACCGCTGAGCCAAACTGGCCAGGGCCATAGCTTTTTGTTTTTTAGGGAAGATTAGTGTTAACAATATCCCCATGCTGCAGTCGAGGTTGAAGGACACTGGACTGTTAGTAAAAAGCAGTTTTATTAGGCCATTTTAAGGAAACTGCAAAATATCTTAGGTTCTCCATCTAGTTGTTTATCCTTCAGCAAATAATTTCTCAATTACTGCCATCCAAAATAAATATATAAACTACTTATTCAGCAGCATTTAATTTAATTACTAATATCGTACCAGGCATCGCCTTAGCATTTTTCATTGCATAACACATTAAGTAGTCTCTTGTGTTCTTGTCTAGGAAGGTAATTGCCATTTGTAATGTTCTTCCCACTAGAAACTACATTCTAAGTTCCAAACAGCTGACTTGTAGTTGAACGTACAGTATTTAGCTCGCAAGCTGAGCTTAGATGTAAACTCAAGGAGATGTAAAGATTCTCTGAGGTAGTGACGTTTTATAGCTGCTTATGGATACAGGCGCTTTTTCTTATGGGGCCTTAAATCATTCATTTCAATTGTGCATCTCACTTGATAGCCACACGTAAGTGTTTTTGTAAGTGTGCCATGCTTTTGCCTTTATTTTGTAGATAATTTGAATCAGGAAAATTAAGTGGCTTTCTGCAGAATAAACTACCAGAAGTAGGTAAAACCTAGACCCACTCTGTGTCTCTTTTTGCTTTATCAACAAATTCAAGTTGATTCTCAGTCTAAATGAACACCCATTATCAGTACCTAAATACCATTTTAAATAGATACAGCTATAATGAAATTGTTTCCCAAAGAATCGATGGTAATTGCACCATTTAAAGCTCAGAATTGAAACAAGAGAATAAATAGAGGCCAGAAATGCTTGTTTAAGCAACAACTCACAAGATGATGCCTCGTTTTCTTAAGAAGTAAAACCTAGAAATAAAGGGAAAATCAGCTGGAATTAAAAAAAAGGAAAGTTCTGCACGATTAAATACTTAGCTTTAACAGTGTGAGGAGCTGGAGAATAGCAGGTGCACATAAAGAATTGTATTGCATAAGATTCTCTGATCAAAAGCTGACATAGAAAGGGAAGGCAGAACTGTATGATGACAGACCACCAGGATTCCCCAAACTACGAAATACCTACGTGAAAAACTTAGTAGGTTTACATGCTGTTTCCTTGTAACTTCTCATCAGATTGATACTTTTTCTTCCTTTACCAACTATACAGTTTAAAATCCAACAGCTTTAGTTCAGAAGTGGGTGGTGCAAATCACTTCTCTAAAGAGTGTAACTCAAAGAATACATAACTCAGAGTTATTACAGGGAATAATAGGGACATTAAGAAGATGTGATAAAAATATGTTTGAAAGTTTGTTTTAGAAAGTGTGTTCTCATTCTTTGATCAGAATTGAAAGTGGTGAATAGTTTCAAATCTAACAGCTGATAAAAATGAAGACTCATTGTTTTAGGGCTTTCTTGCGGTTTAGTTCACTCAGTCCACTGGTAAATGAAAGCCATGCCATCTTCCTTGAAGGTTCTAGGAGTGATCACTTACTTCCCAATTAAAATGTAATCTCCAGATTAAAATTGTGTCTGCTGTCCTTGGTTTGAAGAAAAACAGTAAAACAAACAAACAAACAAAAAATAAAATACAGGGGTGGGCAAAAGTATCTTTATAGTTGTGAGTGCTTGAAATAGATTTTATTCTTGTATTATTTATTTGTATTTTACCCAGAAACCTACTTTTGCCCACCCCTGTATTTACTAAACATTTTATGCAGATGGAAAGGGGGGGAAAAAATGGACCGAGAAGAAAAAAACACTGAGATAGTAGCATTTGATGAGAACTATACAATTTTTGAGTGATGGGGAAAAAAAACCATAATCGAGCCACTACCTCGATACTGTTAAACAATATCTAGTAATGGCCCAGTTATTTTTCTATGGAGACTAAATGATAAATCTGTGAAGTAAAAGCGTATTCAGTTGTGTTTTCTTTACTTTGAAAACTTCTGAGTATTTAAGAATTGAAGTAAGAAAGCCTGAAGGTTCAGATGTTCTCGAGGAGGTGATACAAGTTCCAGCATTTATTTTGCTAATTTGCCCTCTTATCCATTGTGTTTGATGTTGGCTGAGATGAGGTGGGTTCCCTCACTTTCCCCAGAATAATTAACTGTGTAGGGCATCTACGGACTTGCGTCATGGACAGGAAAGTAGATGGGGTCTCATTTGTATCCTCCAGTTGGATCTTGGGTCATTTCACAAGATTCAGTGGTTGAACTAATCAAACAGCGTGTAGCCTGCACACGCCAGAAGTCAGGGGGAGCAGGGGTTACTGCCGCTCTCGGTGTGTAGCATCTCTCCTGAGGTAGGTGAGTATCTCAGAGATGCTGAGAAGAAAGGTTTTGTACGATCCCTGGCTCCTGTTTTTGAATATTGAGTGTATGAAACCTTCATTAACCCAGATCACTGATTGAAGACATTTTTCCCCACTTTCTCCCTAGGGACCTGACAAATAATCGAATAGGATGTCTGAATGCAGACATATTTCGTGGACTCACCAATCTGGTGAGATTGTAAGTACATCTTTCCTGTTAAGATATAAGGAAACATTTGAACCAGTCCCCAAGTATTTGTAAATAGTGATGACATGTTTAGTATTCAAGTAGCAACTGTACAGAAGCAACTGAAGTGGTGAGGGGGTAAGGAGGTCGGAATTTCATCCCGGGGATACTTGTAATGTCATCAGAACATGATACTGCGTTGCTGCACACGAAGGGACACACACAGACACATGTTGTAGAATATGCTCCAGGGAACATGTTCACACTGAGAAAGATGATTGAAAGCTTTGATATCCAGGGAAAATTCTTGGAAGAGGTAAAACTCTGAGCTGTCAGCCCAGAAGGCTGGAGAGATTTGGATCTTGAGAAAGCAAAGGAAGTCCAACAAATGATGCTGGCGGGTGGCAGAAAGAGCGAGGTCAATTTTCTAAGGAGAAGGTGAGTGGTATTAGGAGTAAAATGCCTTGTGGTTTGGGTGAGTTGTTTAATTTTTCTGAGATTTTCTGTTTTTCATCTGCAGATGAGATGAATAGTACCTCAAAGTTATAAGGATAAATTAAAATTTGAATTATCTGAATCTACTTATCTCTTTTAATGCATGTATAATATAAATGTAGAACTTTGTAGACGCCATCAAAGATATTTTTATGTTTTAAACGGGGTGGCTTTGGGAGTAGCTAGAAATTAGGCCGATTATCTAGAAAGAGTTTATGTGGGAGTGTACAAAAAGCAGACAGAGGCTTAGAACTGATTCAACAGTAGGAAGCCACTGCAGGACATTAATGTGGAAAAATAGCATAAAATCATGTTTTACAGAAGAGTAGTTTGGGGATAGGGTGCAGAATGAAATATGGGATTTGAGGTATAATTTCTAGTAAGGATCTCTGCCTGATTGTTTCTCTCTGTAGCTTTTTAGAATATGTCCTCTATTTCATTCATATTAACTTTGAAAAGGCTATTGGGGCTTAGATAGTGAGATTATTTTGTCATCTGGTATAGGAGGGGACCTCAAATCACTTGTTGGAGTCGAACACAGCCCTGCTGCTTCTTAGCGAACTGGTCGTGTTTTTCAGTGTGACCTTTAATTTGGGGGACAGATTTATGTCTGCATTTGTATCGCTAATAAAAGATCGATTTGGTGCACAGCTTTTCTCAGAACTTGAAGTTAATGTGATCAGTTGCATTTTTCTATTTGTAACTGGATTGCAAACACTTTTATTTCCGTGCTTTTACCCTTTCTTCTTCGGAGTTTTGTAGTTTTAGTCGTGAGGACTGCACATGAATCGGAAAGTGAGGCGTCCATGAAGGAAAGAAAAACGTGTTGCCTTTTTGCTTAGCTGCGACTTAAGTAGTGAAAGAGTCTGGAGTTGACTGTCTCGTTGGTTTTAGTTCCAGGTGGACTTACAGCTTTGCTCCGGTACTTGGTCATTAGAGCATGTTTTTTAGGCAAATGAGCAGGATGGGAACAGATGACTATTTCTTATGATTTCTTCTGATTCCTGCCTCACAAGCTAAAGCTTTTGGAAGCTCTAGAGGTTTGGTCATCTCGTTATTTTCTACCAATTATCTGGTACCTGTCGTGAGCATTTACAAAGTCATGGAACACACTGGGCAGTTGTGAATCATTAAACCATGAAAAGAACATTAACAAGCTTCCTAGTCTGAGATTTGATTGAGATGAATTTGTAGCCCATGTAACAGATTATTGTGGCCCCTTTAAATGTAACAATCTGTGGTATATGCAGAAATATACCTGACTTACATCTTTTGAATACTGTCCTTAAAACAGTTTTGCTATTGAGGTAGCTCTTCACCTTCAGGAATGGGAGTGAGGTTGTGTGCAAAATGGGTGAAGGTGATTAAAATATACAATACAAACTTCCAGTTACAAGATAAATACATCCTGGGGATTTAATGTACAGCGTGGTCACCCTAGTTTAACAATACCATAGTGTATAGAGAGTTGCTGAGTCCATCTGAAAAGTTCTCACAGAAGAAAAAAAAAAGAAACTGTGTGTGGTGATGGATGTTAACTAAACTTATCGAAGTAATCATTTTGCACTATATACATAGTGTGTGAAGTTATTATGCTGTATACTTAAAACTAATATGTCATTTATATCTTAATTTTTAAAAATTTAAGAAGAACTTAATTATTTAGTGGAAAAATAAAAGATAAGCAAGACCACCACCGCCACCCAACTCCCAAAGGAAGCCTTGAGGAATTCAGTGCAGCGGAGTTGCTGGTGCTCACTTGGGATGACACAGTCTGGAGTCACAGACCCAGCATCTTTGGGCACACCTTCTGTACGGGCGGCTGCGACCGCCACATTTCTGGGCTCTCTGAGCCGCGCAGTATGCTGGTGGTGAAGGCTGGTGATAATCTGTCATTTAGACTTGGAGAATATACCCTGTTCCCAACCTAACGGGCAGAAAAGAGAACCGGGGGAGGAAGGGGTCATGTAGGACGCCGCTGAGGTTAGCAGTCAGAGAGCTCCCTGCTGCTGCCTCCCACACAAGAAGTAGACAAGGGAAGGGAGGCTGGAGCGGACCACTGTTCTGGTGATTGGCGGAGCTACCTCTTCAGCCCAGCCCTCTGGGTCAGCCCGGGCCACGGCGCTCACACTGGCTGGGTCTGTTCCCCGAATGGAGGCCCCTCGGGGCTGGCCTGGATCAGACCTTAACTGAAGGTCTGTAGGTCTGGACTGTTCTTGCCCAGACTTCTCATAGTTTTGAAGCAAGTGTTGGTTTGAAAAATGTAGGTGAAATATTGAAAAATAAATGTGTCAGAGGCTTCAGTGGACATGGGTATATATTTAGGGGGTGGTTAATTCTGTGTACTGACCTCTGCCTTGTTGATGGAGAAATTTGGGGAAGAACTGTCCCAGAGAAGTGAAGCCAGACCTGAGGAGTTCCCACCCATCCCTCTGTAACCCTGGAACTGCCTGGCAGACCGAAGACCTGGGGACCAACAGACACCTGCCCTTAGCTTAGGAAGTTCACGACCAACAAACCGTCAGGCGATAACACACGCACCAAATGCTCTCCTTTTTCATTCCTTCTTAATGAATTAAAAACCTATATATTTCCCTGGTTACTATACCTTTCATATTTTTTCCTTTAGGAATAATTGGTGACTGGTACTATTAAGCACTTCTTTATACAGTGAAGACAGTCCCGATGTCCTGCAGTAGGAAAACTGTGCGGCGACAAGGAGGGAAGGTTGCATTTCCCCTCGTCATTCCAGATCCCTTACCGAGAGCCCGCACAGACCGTTTCGTGTACATGTTTTCTGTCACCCCCGTAAACATATAGGCATGCATATGAGGCTTTAAAAATTCACTACATTTGACAATTTACTTTTTAAAAAAATTACCAACATATCATTAATGTCTTTTCAAGAGAGTACAAGTTGATTTAGTTTATGCTTGTCAATGGCTGCAGAATTATTTCAAGGATGAAACATTATAATTTAGTGGTGCCTCTGCTCAGAGGTTTGATGGCATCGTCTCTGCCTGGGAAACACTGCTGCGTGTGCACACGCATCATATACGTTTCACTTACAGGAGCTCAGATACACCCGTTTAGCAGAAAGCAAGGAAATAAAAAATAGCTCAGGAGAGTGAGAAACAACAGCCTGAAGAGTGGGGGTGGGTGTGGGTGGATAATTCACCTTCCCCTCCATCCAGTGAGCTCACTGGGACCCAGGAGCAGTGACTTTGCTGGTGGTCCCTTGTCATTCTTCATTTCCTTTTGCATTTTTTGTGTGTAAGCATCTCAGAGCTGGAGTGGGATTCTGGTGTTTTAAAATATGTGTCAGTTGTTATGGCCCCTGAACCAAAGCCCATTACGTCATTTGGTGTTCTGCCCAACACATAACAGTCTGTTCCAACCCTGGAGGAAAATTGGTGGGGATGTACTGGGAAGGTGGGTATGTCCCTCTCCAGTGTGATTCCTTCCTCTGTGGTTGTTAGGGAAAATACCTAACAATACCTAATAATTAGAGTAAAATATCTAATAATTAAAATCCAGTGGTCCCTGTAAGATGCGATCACTATGTTTATATTTAAATATTTGTAGGGTAGATTTTTATTTCAAGCTACTGTTATGGAATCTTTCAAACATCTAAGGCAAATCAAAGATACTTGTAAGTTTCAACACTTAGTGACACCTCACCAATCTTGTTTTTAGATATATCTCTCATCTCTGGTCTTCCCACCGACATTGTTTTAAACAAATCCCCATCATCATAATTTCACATAGGATAGCTTCATAAAATTACAGTGGTTCATTTTAATAACATCTAAGTTACTTTCTTGAAATGTTATGGTGATTTACACTCCCATCATCAGTACCCTTTTCAAAATTCACGTTCAGTATCCACTCTTCTGGGCCCCAAAGGAAAAGGGCATCTCTTTTATTGTTCTTTTAGTTTGCAGATATTCTTTTTTATTTGTTTGCTTTTTAAGTTCCTAGGCAGTTCTGTGAGGGTCAGAATTATTTTATCCAGCTTTATATGTCAAAAGACATACGAACAATCCCATCCAGTGAGGTTCTGATGGAAGTTCATTATGTATTCATTGCTGAAGGACTATCATTTGTGTAGGATCAAGTTGCAGGGGTTCATCGCTGCAGGTGTCATGGTGGGTCTCTCCCAGCTCAGTTCCCTTTCCTCTCCCCACTGGGGATCCATCTACCCGACTGGGGATCCATCTACCCGACTGGGGATCCATCTACCCGACTGGGGATCCATCTACCCCACTGGGGATCCATCTACCTCACTGGGGATCCATCTACCGACTGGCACTTTCTCCCTGACTTGACGCATTCAACCTGGACTCCGAAGGCCTCCAGGCAGGTCCCAGGACTTCTTTGAGAACTCAAGGTCTAAACTGTATCTGTTCTTGATCCCACAACAGACAGAGCTGGTCTGTGGAGTGTGGATCATGCTGCCATACTCCCAGAGCCCTGCATCCCCTTGAGTGTCAGCAACCTCCTGCAGGTGGGCCCTGGACCCTGAACAGTCAGCCACCACCATTGAGCACTTACTGTATACCTCAGCATGTTACTAGCTGCCAGAGGTACCCCGGTAAATAAGACACACAGGTCCCTCCCCTACTGGGGTTCATAGTCAAACACAGAAGAAGTAGTTCCATCAAATTATTGAGGGTATAACAAACTACTCAAATTGTAGCATGGGGCCATGGGGTGCTTGGGGTTTTCGTTCATATAAAACTCTACAAGGACTTAGTTAGTTCTTTCTTTTTTTTTGTTAATCCTCACTGGAGGATATTCCTGATTTATAGATAAAGTGGAAGGGAGGGAGGGGGACAGAGAGAGAAGGAGAGAGGGAGGAGAGAAACGTCAATGTGAGAGAAACACATCTGTTGGTTGCTCCCCGCACGACCCCAACTGGGGCTGGAGATCAAACCTTTAATCCAGGTACATGCCCTTGACCAGAAATCGAACCTGCAGCCCTTTGGTCTGAGGGTCACTGCCATGCTGGCCAGGGCTAGACAGGTTTTTTTGGTACATGCCCCTAGCGGGACCTGAACCTGGGACACTCGGGTCCGCAGGCTGACGCTCCAACCGCTGAGCAAACTGGCCAGGGCTAGACAGGTATTTCTTGAAGCCGGCTAATACAAGGGGGAACGAGAACAAGCAACACTGAATTATACCCAGGTCTTTCGTTTTAAACCCCGGCCTCTCCCCTCGGCTGATGGTTTTGCCCAGTTACTGCGGGCTGCTGCTGATCATTCAGCCCAGCCCTTTTCTTTTGTGGTTTTAAATGTTTGCTTCTTAAGTGAAACTGAGTGAACACGGGAAGAGTAATTCTAGTTGCGCTGAGGGCCTGGCCGCTATCTAATCCAGTCAGTAGCTTCCATGTTCACCTGATACTGGTAGGAAAATCCTTGTCGAACAAATGATTTTTAAATAATTTTGTTTACTGCCTTATGTAAGGTTAAGATCAATTTTCTTTTTCAGCCTTGGAGAAATATTTACTGCTCATTCCCTCTTTCTAAGACTTAAACCAACTTTTATAAATTCTTTATAATATTTAGTGAATGTAGGACCCTTTAGGAAATCTGAAATGGTATAAAAAGATATATTTGTTAGTGTTTTTAAAAGTGAAATTCTTTTTTTCCCCCCCAGAAACCTTTCCGGGAATTTGTTTTCTTCATTATCTCAAGGGACTTTTGATTATCTTGGCTCATTACGGTCTTTGTAAGTAAGAATTTTTTTCTCCTCTTTTTTTTATATATCTATATCTATATCTATATCTATATCTATATCTATATCTATATCTATATCTATATCTATATCTATATCTATATCTATATCTATATCTATATCTATATCTATATATCTATTTTGTCTTGAAAATTTAAAACGTTATTATGTGGTTTAAGATCGTTCATGGGGAAGACCTTGCAGTTTTGCAGGTGTTAGACTCTTTCTTGAGAGCTTGCGTTCACATGGAAAAACATACTGCAAACCTTACATAATGCATTTCCAACAGGGGCAGCCAGTTCTCTTTAGAATATTTTGATATATTCAACAAATTGAATTTTCTAACAAATATTCCAATTTGTTTTCAAATTTGAAAATATTTTGTTCTTTGCTAATTTAATCCTCAAAGTGCAAAATATTCCTTTCTCAGAAGAATTTGTGCTTAAGAATTTTTTATACTTTTAGGGATTTAATTTTATCCTGCAACCCTTTTGCCAAACTGAATTAACAACTTACTACATTTTAGGAATGTTTATGCAGATGTCTGCTTTATGAAGTCAATGTAAGATCATATTTACACAGTTTTCTGTAGCTAGAATTGGCTGGATTCTTTCCCCTCAAAAAGCAGTTTGTTAACTGAGAGATTTTACAAATGTTACTTTTGACAGAGAAACCTTATTGCCAGATAAACCTTAATATATTTCAAGCATTGTTATACTAATTTCTATTGGAATTACAGTTAAGTACAGCATTTTTCAAGTTTTTATTATGTGTAACTCCTGAGATGGAGTCTCTTTTTCCAGGGAAACTTGTCTTCCCTACCAGCTGCCTCTGTTGTGTGTATGCTCAGTTCTTTTCTCCCCTTCCCTTCACCTCCCCTTTCCTTTCCTTAGCCTGTCATTTAAATCTCATTTTGCAGTTTCATTGGGGTGTAGCTACTAGGTGAGTCATCCACCTGGCCCCTCCACAGTGTGTCTAGGCATCCATCTGGCCCCTCCCCAGTGGCTAGGCATCCACCTGACCCCTCCCCAGTGTGTCTAGGCATCCACCTGACCCCTCCCCAGTGTGTCTAGGCATCCACCTGGCCCCTCCCCAGTGTGTCTAGGCATCCATCTGACCCCTCCCCAGTGGCTAGGCATCCACCTGACCCCTCCCCAGTGTGTCTAGGCATCCACCTGACCCCTCCCCAGTGTGTCTAGGCATCCACCTGGCCCCTCCCCAGTGGCTAGGCATCCATCTGGCCCCTCCCCAGTGACTAGGCATCCATCTGGCCCCTCCCCAGTGTGTCTAGGCATCCACCTGGCCCCTCCCCAGTGTGTCTAGGTATCCACCTGGCCCCTCCCCAGTGTGTCTAGGCATCCACCTGGCCCCTCCCCAGTGTGTCTAGGCATCCACCTGGCCCCTCCCCAGTGTGTCTAGGCATCCACCTGGCCCCTCCCCAGTGTGTCTAGGCATCCATCTGGCCCCTCCCCAGTGTGTCTAGGCATCCACCTGATCCCTCCCCAGTGTGTCTAGGCATCCACCTGACCCCTCCCCAGTGTGTCTAGGCATCCACCTGGCCCCTCCCCAGTGTGTCTAGGCATCCACCTGGCCCCTCCCCAGTGTGTCTAGGCATCCACCTGGCCCCTCCCCAGTGTGTCTAGGCATCCACCTGACCCCTCCCCAGTGTGTCTAGGCATCCACCTGGCCCCTCCCCAGTGTGTCTAGGCATCCACCTGGCCCCTCCCCAGTGTGTCTAGGCATCCACCTGGCCCCTCCCCAGTGTGTCTAGGCATCCACCTGATCCCTCCCCAGTGTGTCTAGGCATCCACCTGACCCCTCCCCAGTGTGTCTAGGCATCCATCTGGCCCCTCCCCAGTGTGTCTAGGCATCCATCTGGCCCCTCCCCAGTGTGTCTAGGCATCCACCTGATCCCTCCCCAGTGTGTCTAGGCATCCACCTGACCCCTCCCCAGTGTGTCTAGGCATCCATCTGGCCCCTCCCCAGTGTGTCTAGGCATCCATCTGGCCCCTCCCCAGTGTGTCTAGGCATCCATCTGGCCCCTCCCCAGTGTGTCTAGGCATCCATCTGGCCCCTCCCCAGTGTGTCTAGGCATCCACCTGGCCCCTCCCCAGTGTGTCTAGGCATCCACCTGGCCCCTCCCCAGTGTGTCTAGGCATCCATCTGGCCCCTCCCCAGTGTGTCTAGGCATCCATCTGGCCCCTCCCCAGTGTGTCTAGGCATCCACCTGATCCCTCCCCAGTGTGTCTAGGCATCCACCTGGCCCCTCCTCAGTGTGGCTAGGCATCCTTCTGGCCCCTCCCCCCACGGTGGACATAGGTGGGTACTTCTACAATCACACTGGATCAAACTCCATCTGGTGTGTTTATGGTACTATTGCTGTTCTCATCCAGAAGCCAGTTTTTTAGGGAAAACATCTCCTTTTGGCATATTTAGTGGGTTCAAGTCAGTTATTACTGTGAAGTTTAGGAAATAAAAAGATTGCAAAGAATAATTTGGCTTTTAAGACCCTGGGTAGCAGGAATGTGGGAAGTATTTTCATCCTCAAATTGGGGAAAATAGCTAGAGTTGTTACTTGGTAGTGCCACAAAGGGACCAGAGCTGGTGCTTAGGAATTAGAGGTCAGTCCGGTCATCCTTCTGGTACTTTTTTTTTTAAGTTACTTTCTCTTAGCTGTATCTTATCTTGACTCCCCCCTCCCCCCACTCTTTTTATTGCCAAAACTGAGATGAAACCTGAGCCAGGGCATGGTCTGTGTTAGAAGTACACACCGTTAAATTTGCTCTTTGCACTTTGTCGACTTATTTGTATAGATCATGTTACATTCTGTTTTAGCTATATTTACATTGTGTTCCCTCCTTACATAATGTCCTCCAGGTTGGCAGGGGGCAGTATCTGCATTTATTTTTATTAGCTGGACTTAGTGAAACGCATGGCAGGTGAATAGTTCGTGCTTTGTAAAACCAGTGTTCAAGAAAGTATTGTGTTCACGGACAAGCCATGTATGCCCTCTTTCTGTTCCTACACCCAGCGTGCCAATTGTAACACTTCCTGCCCCATGGAAAGATAACTCTATCTTCTTTCATATGAAGTGCGAAGTCTTACATTTTTGATTGGTTGAGTCTGAATCCCTTGTTTGTACATAATTGTGGTGTCCCTTGGCACATAGCAGAAAGTGCCAGAAGTCGTCCCCACCCTTTAGGGACTGAAACACTCCAGTCAACAGATGAACATAACCTTGTGAAGCAACCTTATGTTGCTTTATGTTGCCGAAATTAACGGGACATTGTAGGCATTTAAGCCAAGAACCGGCAGCGGCTGGAACCGTTGGAGACGGTTCCAGAGGCGTGTTCACTCTGTGCTTCAAGGTGAACTGGGAAGCTGTTGAAAGGCCAAAGGGTGGGGCTTTGGGTTCCAGAACCCTGGGGTTAAGCAGCTTGTTGCATAGACAAGGGCTGATGAGTCGCTTTTGTTCACATGACAACTTTGGTTGAAAGCAGAGTGAGTCCCAGGATGAGAGGGGACCATGCTGGAGTCAGACCCGCAGCAGGTCATCACAGCAAAGGAGACCATGACCAGTTGGTGGTGTAGGTCACCAGTGTGGGGAAGGTGAACACACCAGCTTGACTGCCACCCAGAGTGTAAGCCGACATGAAACAAAAGCACTGTTTCCTTTTGTGCATCGTGATCTCTAATGTGTGTCCTGTGCACTGCAGAGAATTCCAGACTGAGTATCTTCTGTGTGATTGTAACATACTCTGGATGCACCGCTGGGTGAAGGAGAGGAACATCACCGTGCGGGACACGCGGTGTGTGTACCCCAAGTCTCTGCAGGCCCAGCCGGTCACAGGCGTGAAGCAGGAGCTGTTGACATGCGGTAAGGGAGAAAGAAAACCAAGTGTTGTCCTATTTTCCCTGCCACCATGTTTTTCTTGACAAACTGTAAAATTCTCTTTATACTTTGATGGAACCGAGTATAATCATTAATCTTCAAGGATTCATAATATTTAGTTTATACCAACAATTAAGGCAGCCTGATGAAAAACAAAACAAAACATTGTTTCAACTGGTATTTAAGATTCTTAGGTTCTGAACAGCTTTCTGAAAACCAGTCTCAAAGAATAGCAGAGACCTTCAGAAGATCTTTCAGTTGACAAATGAGGAATTTATTGATCGTCGTCGTAAAACCTCAGGATGCAGTCACTGTTGGTGGGAGTGTGAACTGATACAGCTTTTTTGAAGTATACAGTGGCAGTATGTATCAGTGTTCTTAAGAAACTGATGCAATTTGATCTAGTAATTTTGTATGTCAGGGTTTATTTCCAGGAAATAATCAGCTATGTGTGCAAATCTTCAGACTTTATATTTAAGCATATCTGAAAATCTAAAAAACGGGAGATTGCTTTAATTGTTGGTGACACACTCATTCACTGTATGCAGCTATTGAAAATCATGATTTTGAAGAACAGCAAAAGACTTGAGGGAACTAACACATTTACTGTGTGTTAAGTGAAAAAAGAAAAAAACCACATCAAACAAAAACAGTCCTTAAGGTGATAGGAGGAGATTCCAGCTTGTGTTTGGAAACAAACAGTCCTATCTTTCTTTCTTTTTTCCTTTTCTCTGTATTATTGTTGTTGTTTCACAGGTAACATATGCTCATTGGATAAAAATTAAGATTCATGAAAATAAATAATGTATACACCCATCAAATTATCATGATGTACACTTTAAACATTTCACAACTTTGTTAATTATTATCTCAATAAGGAAAAGAAAAAAAAAGAACTAAATCATAAAAACAAAACCCTTCCTACATTCTTATCACTACCAGGTGGCTAAAGTCAAAGATAAGTTGGTGTATTTTCTGCACCTTTTTCCTCTGTTTTCACCAAAATATCATATTTTCATGCATTTGTAACCTTTTTAACTTGAAATAATATAAACTTATTTCCTCATCATATAAAATAGATGCATACCAATCCATTGTATAAATGTCACCATAACTTGACAAATTCCTTACTAATGCATATTTAGTTTGGTAATCATTTCTAACTCCATAAACAGTTCAAGGATTAATTTCCTCCTATACATTTTTGCATATATGCTATTTTTCTTTTGGAAAAACTGAAAGTAGAATGGTTGTGTTAGACAATGGACCAAGTATTTTAAAGGCTTTTAATGAGCCCATGATATTTGCATGCATTTTGCATATATATTTAAAATCTATGCCTTTTGTTTTTCTGACAGGAAAAAATATATCAACTTTTTAAAAGTGGTTATAATATATGGGATCTTAAAAAAATGTTTCCCCTTTTTCTTTAAATGTTTTAAATTTTCTGCAGTGAGTATGCATTACTTTTATAACTAGAAACCAGTAGTTTAATCAATGGTAATACAGTCTCCAAAATGTAATTTTAAATTGTGTCTATTTCAGCATTTACTTATCACCCGTTCCATTCTCCGGCTTTAAGTATCATTTTACAATTGGTTCTTTGCCCAACCGGTGTGGCTTAGTGGATTGAGCGTCATCCCTGGATTGAGAGATCCAGGTTGGGTCCCAGTGGGGGGGCATGCAGGCGGCAGCCAATTGATGTATCTCACGTCAGTGTTTCTTTCCCTCTCTCCCTTCCTCTCTCTCTAAAAAAAAAAAAAATCAATAAAAACATTAAAAAAAATACAATTGGTTCTTTTAGTATTGCTTCTGTGATCATCTGATAGTCCTGTGTTAACACCAAAAAAGGACTACTCTGAATGGCGGAACCAATTATAAAATGGATTCATTTTAGTTCTGCCAATTTTGTTTTCATCTGGGACCCACTTATCTCAGGAGCAGCCGTGAGTGCTGGTTTTGCTCAGTGGTTAGAGCATCATCCCAAGGTCTGAAGGGTCATAGGTTCGATTTCCGGTCAAGGGCTTGCACCTGGGTTGCAGGTTTGTTCCTGGCCCTGGATGGGGTCCTGCGGGAGGCAACCAGCCATTGTGTCTCTCTCACATCGACGTTTTGATCGCTCTCTCCCTCCCTCCCTCCCTTCCACTCTATCTAAAAATCAATGGAAACATATCCTTGGGTGAGGATTAACAAATCAATTTAAAAGTAATGATATAAATAAATAAGTAAAATGTCATTACTGAGGAATGTTTGTTTTTCCATTTAGTTTTTTTTCCCTTTATTGATTTTAGAGAGAGAGGAAGAGAGAGGGAGAGAGAGATAGAAGCATCAATGAGAGAGAACATCCATTGGCTGCCTCCTGCATGCCCCCCACTGGGGATTTGGCCCACAACCTGGGCATGTGTCCTGACCAGGAATCGAACCGGTGGCCTCTTGGTGCATGGGTCAGTGCTCAACCACTGAGCCACACAGGCTGGGCTGTTTTTCCATTTTTAAAGTTTAAATGAGAATGTCTAACCTTTAATTCTGGAATGTGCATATAGTATTGTATTTGTTGACTGAGTTGTTTTACTGTCTCTAGATCCTCCCCTTGAATTACCATCTTTCTACATGACTCCATCTCATCGCCAAGTTGTGTTTGAAGGGGACAGCCTTCCCTTCCAGTGCATGGCTTCGTATATTGACCAGGACATGCAGGTGCTATGGTATCAGGATGGGCGAGTGGTTGAAACTGATGAATCGCAAGGTATCTTTGTGGAGAAGAACATGATTCACAACTGCTCCTTGATTGCAAGGTAAACCTTTTAAAATGAGAAACTGTCTCTGAATTTTATTTATGGTTTGAGACTTGTCATGTTTAGTTGGAGTTTGAATTAATATTTTATCTCCTTGCATTTAAAAATGAAAACATCTGGTTTCCTGACTGTTACTCATCTTGTAAAATTAAATAGCTATCTTTGCCATCCATTTTTTCGGGGGGCGGGGGGAGGAACACAGGATAAAAGGGAAACAGTATTAAAAAGTTGGAGACCTTTTGTTTAAAATTTTAGGAAGGAAAATGTAAACTTTTTGTGCCAAACTTAATTTTTAACCATTTCCTTCTACTAAGCTCAGATCTTCACTTTTAGGGATCACCTAATTTTCACTATTGTATGATTAATGCTACATTTTGAGATACTTTCTTTCTCTACCCCACTAGAATAATAGAATATAACACCTGTATTGTTAGCCCAGTGGCTGGTGTGAACACCAAAATATTATTTCTAATGAACTTTATAAAGTATAAAAAAAAGCAGAATAAAAACATATATGATATTATCACTCACCATATATTTTATTGTGGTAAAATCTTAATCTGTAGGCATGGGATTTTCTCTCTGTGTGTCTCTTTTCTTCCTACCAGTTTCTTAAAGACAGAATTCTGCTTGGGTTTATGAGAGTACATCTGTACTTGCCAAACTCTGCTGGGGGCCCCTAGAGTAGTGTCCCAACAGGCACACAGGAATGACATGGAAAATTATTGTGGAACTGAAGTTTCTCTGAGTTGAAAATCATGTCTTGGAATTGTGGGGGTAGAACATTCTATTTTATAATTTCATTCTGTACTGAGAATTCCAATCTGATTATTAGAAGCATATTTTCATTTATGTTTTTTAACATCTTTGTAGTAGATGCTGTTAAATTCTTGCCAGCCAGTTCTAACATCTCGGTCATCTTTTGACTGTGGCTTATATTTTTCTATTTGAAAAAAATATTATTTATATGTATAGCAATGTTGGATTATATCCTAGATTTTGCAAATGATTCACTATAGAGAAGATATTGGCCAAGTATAGCTTCTGGGCTAAATCTCACCTGCTGGGCATATGATCTAAGAACATTTAAAAAATAATTTTAAATGGTTATATTTCTTTGTCTTTTTTTTTTTTTTTAATCTTCATCCGAGGATATTTTTCTGTTTATCTTCAAATAGAGTGGGAGGGAGGGAGGGAGAGGGAAAAAGAGATAGAAACATCGATGTGAGGGGCCCATCGACTGGTTGCCTCCAGCATGACCCTGACCCACAACTGAGATACGTGGTACGTGCCCTTGACCGGAATCGAACCCATGACTCTTTGGTCTGAGGGCCGTTGCTCTAATCGCTGAACCAAACCGGCCAGGACTAAATGGTTATATTTCAAATGGTTACATAAGTGTCTATATAATGTCCTCAATTTTGCTTCTTGGCCTTTAAAGAAAAAGTTTGACCCTTGCCTCTAGATTTTGTTCTGCTCACCTGAAGAGAGCTGATTTTTGTTTCCTCAAGCAATGAACTTGACCTAATTCCAACTCCCAGCTCCGTCTCCCCTGTGATAGGCAGCAGCTGAAGTCTGCGAGCATCTACCCTGGCGTGTGTAGGTCAGGGGTCAGTCAGGTAGAGATCTGGGCATATTTTATATGCAGAAGTTTGGGCTTACAGCCAGGCTTCTTTTCTACCTTTGTCCTCTGATTTTCAACAAGTAAGATGATGAATCTCTCTTTGAGGAGGGCATGGCCTTGGACAGAAGCCACCGAAAACAATTTTATGATCACTCCCCAGGGCCAGTCCCTTCTTCCTGGTGTCAGCTCCTCCCTGCTTTCTGCTTGCTTTGGATCACTCAGTGTATTCAGAGAGCTGTCATTTTGTTGTTTGTCCAGAGCTTACAATTATTAACTGCAGGGAGGGTGGTTTATAGGAGCTACTCTGCTATTGCCAGAAGCAGTGTTCCTTCTGAGAACCTCTGAGCTGGGAAGAAACAGGATATTAGGTCCCAGGGAGAAGACTCTGGTTGCTACATTGTTTTTACAGTGGTGATAATTTCATAAGTGTACACATATATTGAAACTCATCAGTTGTACATTACAAGTAGTTATTATATGGATAGACACCAATCAGCATATAAAACAACAATAGAGCTTTACAAATACATGGACTCTATTTCTGAATAAAAGAGTGTTGATTAATTTAGAGTCCTTAATTTTGATGACTGTAACTAGAATAATTTAATAAATTTATTTCTGCAAGTCATACTTTAATCAAAATTCTTTATAGAAATACAGAAAAACAAATTCTAAGGATAGCAAGCCTTGCCTACTATTTTTTGGGGGAACGGACACATGACTAAAGTGAAAATCTTTCTTGGGAAGTCTGAGAAGTTGTCTTTTGTACCAAGAGTTAGCTGCAGAATAACACAGACGTTGTAGAAGAAGGAAATGTGGTTATTGATTTGTTACCTGAGATACTTGTTGATTCTTCATTGATCCTTGGTTAGTAAAACTCAGAGTCTCCAGTTTTCGTCAGCGATGAAACTGAAGCTGCTCTTTTGCTTACATCTACACCTGTGTTGCCTTGAGGGTGCCTGAACATTTTATTCCAGTGGTTAGTTTTAGACGTTGAAGTTCTTGCTAAAAGTTATCTTTGCAAATGTTTACAACACATACTAGGCCTCGAGCTCCCGATGGGTGTGTCACGGTGCCCTGGACACCACAGTGCGTTTACAGACGCGCTTTGGGCATTTTGCATTTTTTTTTTTTTTAATCCTCACCTGAGGACATTTTTCCATTTTTTTGTTCAGGTAGAGTGGGGGGAAGAGAGAGGAACAGAGAGAGAGAGAGAAACATCGATGTGAAAGGGACACATCGAGTGGCTGCCACCCGCACAGCTGACCCGGGCCGGGGACAAACTGCAACCGAGGTACATGCCTTAGCGGGAACCGAACCCGGGTCTCTCTGGACCGCAGGCTGATGCTCTAACCGCTGAGCCAAACCGGCCAGGGCCATTTTGCATTTTTGAGGAAGAAGAGCGATGTCCAGGTTTGTCAGGCACCACACAGCTTCTAGCTCCAGGCAGCTGTGGTGTCACCATTAAGCTGTGCTGCATTCCTTTGCCGGTGTCATGTTTTGGGATGTGGGGTTTTTGTCGATGACTTTGGTACAAAGCAAGTACCGTGTGAAGATCGTCGTGGAACAAGAAATAAGGGCATCGGTGTCCGATGTTTTGTGATTGTCTAGTGCCCAGCAGGCATACACAGCCGTGACATGGAGTTGTGGTTTAAGAATAAAATGTTTGATATGTGCTATTTTTTCAAATGACTACTAAATTATTAGGACATAGACACGCAATTTGGGGGTTTAATTTGGTAACTGGAACCACTGTAGGTATTTCTTTCAGGCCAGGGGCACCATGAAAATGTTACCCCGTCAGTGAAAGTGCTGTGAACCAAGCACTTTGGGAGCCTATTAGATTACAGAATGATGTTCATTGCCTTTAAAAACATTTTTTTTATACACCTCGTCCTTGTTCGGTAGAGCCTTATAAGTAGAAGGTTTGATACACTTTCTAGTTGTTTAAATTTAATGTCAGACTCATTTGTGTCACTTTTATCTTGGAATCTACTTATTACAGCATATTGTTTTATTTATTGACTTAGTAAAGATGATAAACATCTTCTCTGATTCAGAATAATAGTGCCTCAAAGTCTTTATTGGGACATTTGTTGTTGTGTAGCCACTGATGACTTAGGAGGCTGGGAAAATGTGTATCAAACTTCAAAACATAACTCTGTAAGTTATTTAAAATGATCCTTTATGTCTAATTACTTATCCTGTGTATCTACTTAAAAGCAAAGCCTCATTTGCCCTGTGGGGGTGAGGAGTAAAGGTTAATGAAATGTTCTGACATTTGCTCTTTAATTAATGGGTTTTATATTAGAGAATTATGACTTCATCTTGCAAATTAAATGTACTGATAACTAGTGAGATAGATAGCTGCTTTGTAAACTGAAGTATACCTTCACATGGAAACTCCATTTGTTAACCATTCATTAATGATTTACCACATCATTTTGGGGGCTTAACAAGTTGTTTCTTGTGTAACCTTTCTTCCACAAAATACTTTACCTTACATGTTTCCTTAATTACATACTTCACAATATTAGTCCTCTTTGTTCGTGCTTGAGGATTTTCCTGAGAGTCAGTGGGTTGGTTTGCCTTTCCCGGCCGTCCCCCAGCCGCTGTGCCCTGCACCCCCTCTGGAAGGAGCAGTCTCAGCATTATGTACACTGCAGCTTACCCATGTTTCTGTTACTGCTCTGACCACGGTAGTTTACGTCTCTCTACCTGCTTGTCCCAACTTGCTGCTGAAGTACTTAGATGGAGGGACGTTTTTTAAGAATTTGTTTTTATCTGACACGTGCGTGATGCAGTGTGCATGCAGACACGTTTGCGAGTGAGTGAGAGAAGCCCGTGTTGTCTCCCTGTTTGCCTAACCATATTTTCTTTCTCTTTAACATCTTTCTTCATGCAGTGCCCTAACCATTTCTAATATTCAGGCTGGATCGACTGGAAATTGGGGCTGTCACGTCCAGACCAAGCGCGGAAACAATACGAGGACTGTGGACATTGTCGTGTTAGAAAGCTCCGCGCAGTACTGTCCCCCTGAGAGGGTGGTCAACAATAAAGGGGACTTCAGGTCAGTGCATGGAGAGTACTGGGGAAGTTGGGTTTGCCCACGCCCCTTATCCGCAAAGCTCAGAACTGGTTACTATCCTCCGTAGGAATATTGGAGAAATGTATGTGTGTTTATATGTATATCCTTATATGTATAAGGACTGTCCTTTAGGACAGTGATTTCAGAATCATTTACAGAGATTTAAGGAAAAACAAACAAACAAACAAGTGCCTGAATTTTATCTCAGAACTTGATTTATGAGTCTCTGAAGGTAGAGTCAGAAGTGTTCATTTTTAATAGGAGGTTTTATTGAAAAAGTTAAGAACCACTACAGTAGGGAAACATTTTGGAAATTCTAAAATGGTATGAAATTCGGGCAGGCTAATGCTGTTGCCTGTTTTTTTTTCCCCCCAAGGGTTCTTATTGATGAACTTTGGAACGTTTTTGTATTGCTGTGTCACCTCTAACTACTGGCCAGTTAAGTAAACACCGTAATTAGGAGAAACATGTATCCACTTTTCCTCCCCCGTTGGGTTCTTACTGCTTAGCTGCAGAAGAACCAAATGGGGGAGGGAAATTGGATATGTGTTTATCTTTTCCCTTTTTTTCCTCCTTGACCCAAGTGTATGGAAATTGGCGTTCATTACTGCCAATAGATAAGTTTTGGGGAAATGAAAGCTGTTGGGAAGCCTGAAACTTGGCGGCGGTGGGGGGGGGGGGGCATTGGTGTTGGACTTAGTTAACATGAACAGAATGAGTGAAATGATTTTTTTTTTTTTCTGTAGAAAATGTAGAATTTGTAAGCAGTAACAACTTGAACCTTAGACTCTCTTTACTTTCAAAGTTGCTTGAAAACATCTTTAAATGTATTATTTACTGAATGTTCTTTATGTTCAGGATTTTAATAATGAGCTTGTAATTGAGATAAATAGAAGGAAAGATGTTGCCCTTAAAAGCAGCATGAAGATTGTTGAATACCAGTTGTCCTGTTCGCCATGGGTTCTATTGCTGCTTCATGGCTATAAGCCTGTTTTTAAGGATAAGGACATTCTTTGGTGTCAGTCTTTCAAGTCCAAGGTGAAGCAGCATAACGCCTTTAGCTCAGCTAGTTCTTCATTGCTGTTTACAAAATTATCTTTTTAAAATTCTCCTTGACATGAATATATGGAAACCTGCATTTATCACTGCTAGTGGATAAGTCTTTGATCTGGATTAACTGTTAATTTCTGATATTTATATTGTATACCTTAAAGTGAAATAGATAATGTTTGTTAATTTTGTTTTATTCAGAATCTTTTATTAAATAATCATCATATGTTTTCTGTTTGTGTGGGATTTTCTATTTCTACTTACATGTGTGAGCGTGTTACATTTTTAAAGTAAGAAGAGGAATCTAATTACTTAACTGATTAATGATTCACTCATCTTTGACATGCCTTAAGGTATTTTGCAGTTAATCTTCCACTGCATTCATAAGAATTCAGTTTAGTGTCGCTTGATCTATTTATGCAAATTTTGGTAATGAATTACGTTTTGGTGTGACTGGTATTATAATTTAGCAGTTCCTGTGTTACCGGTCAGCTGTGACTTTTATTAAATATGTTCGATTTCCCTGCCAGTGTTGGAGAAATGGAGCTCAGATTACACAGGTTTTCCCAGCCCGGTTAGTGATGGTCAATGCCAACAGGTTCATGTAGTCCTTTGCACAGGAAGGGGCTTCTCCCGGACACATTTGATAATGTGCTGTGCTAGAGGTCTTCAAGACCACCCCCAAGTGCAGACATTTGCTAGAAGGACTACGGGACTCAGCATATAGTTAGAGTGACAACTAAGATGTGTTATAGAGATGTAGTGAGATACATGGCTGGGTCACAAAGGAGTTGGGGGGTCTGGAGAGACCCAGGTGCAGGCTTCTCTGTGCTCTCTCCCTCCCAGGGGGCTCACACAGAGCTGACTCCTGCAGCCATGAAAAGGCAATAAGCTCTAGGCAGCCCTTCCGCCGGGGAAGCCCATTGACGTCTCAGCTCCCAAAGGTCTTATAGCTGGTCATGTAGGCACCCTCTGCCCAGCACGTGCCGACATTTCAGACGCCCAGAAAGAAAGCAGGCGTTCAGCCTAAACCACATTGCCTGTGCAAGCAGTAGGCACAGTGAACCGCCCTCACCAGTTAACTGTTCAAGGTCAAGTTCCCAGTTCCTAAACGCCACTGAAGGGCCAGTGTTGCAAGCAGGCCTGGCTAAGGACGGCAGTCCCGACCTGCCATCGTAACTCTTTTCTGCACATGTACTAGCTCCACTTCTGCAAAAGGCCAAATTCTAGTTATACTGGAGAAGATTCCGACTTCACATTCCTCATGGTTATGTAAGCCAACAATATATTAACAGTAACTAAAAAGAAACACAAAACACTGTTGCACCAGTTTTCTCTTGTGCTGCACAAGATACAATTTGTGTGTTTTTAGCAACATTTAGAATATTTTAGGAAAATATCTGTTATGCTATTAAAATACATTTGGCTGATAGTTTAAAAGTGTTTAGTTCATGTTAACCTTTTAAAAAACATACCTTGGGTCTTTATTGTTGAAGGAGTTATGTATGTTCTTCTCCTTGATTTTTTTCTCGGTGATTGCACGTGCCATGTTCCAATCCTGGATTCTCCTCCCCTGTGGCCGCATTAGTGTAGGTTTCTTAAGCTGCTTTGTCCTCGTGTCCAGGTGGCCCCGGACGCTGGCAGGCATCACTGCCTATCTGCAGTGCACGCGGAACACCCACGGCAGCGGGATCTATCCCGGAAACCCGCAGGACGAGAGGAAGGCTTGGCGCAGATGTGACCGAGGTGGCTTTTGGGCAGATGATGACTATTCTCGCTGCCAATATGCAAACGATGTCACTAGAGTTCTTTATATGTTTAATCAGGTAACTACAGAGTCTTCAGTTTGCGGAGGCTGTTGATAAAGCATGGTATTCGTACCAAACATGTATGGTCTCTTTTTAATATACTAGTAAAATATACGGATTTGGTGTTTAGCCTTCAGTGGTCTGATATGTCTTTAGAATAAGGTCTAGTCTTCTCAGCTGGTATTCAGGGCCTAGAGGGAGTCACTCTTTCTGGTCCCTGTCATTGTGCCTTTGTTGAGTAAGTTTATCATCTGAGTCGACCAGAGGAGATCCCAGCCATCCTTTACATCCACCTGGGGAGCTATCTCTTTTGTTCTTTTTTATAGTCCCTTTGTTACAGGTGATTTACCTTTTGTACCCATGCTGTTCAGATGCCTTTTGCTGTTTTTGTTTCTACGCATCTTTTTTTAAATTCTCATCTGAGGCTATGTTTCTATTGATTTTAGAGAGAGAGGAAAAATAACATCGATGCGAGAGAGGAACATCAATAGGTTGCCTCCTCTACACATCCCAACTGGGGGTTGAATCCACAACCTAAGTTTGTGCCCTGACTGGTAATCGAACCCACAACCTTTCAGTGCACAGGGTGATGCTCCCACCACCTGAGCCACCGGCCAGAGCTCTGTGCTTCTTTTAAAAACCAGATCAGATTGTAAGCCGCTGGAAGATAGTTTCTGGGTTACGCATTTTCTTATGATCCTTAGCACCTGCTATACCCTTTTTGCAGTGGTTGGTGCCGAGTCATGTTTAAGTCAATAAATAGACAAATGTAAAGCATCACTGGCAGTGCTTGGTGCTACAGGTAAGTAAATAAGTGGTTCACACTCCCACGCAGGTAGTAATCCTTCCCGCTGCAGTACAGGGAAGTCTTTCCTAAACAACTGGGGTTGAGTCTGTGTAAGTCGGAGAAGAGGTGGCGAGTATATTGTACATACTATTTTATGGTGTAGTTTTATGTATTACTATATTTTATTCACATTTTTCAAAGTTCCCCTCAGGTTAATTTCCATTCCCAGTCAGGGCAGATGCCCAGATTGTGGGCTCCATCCCCGGTTGGGGATACGCAGGAGGCTGCCGATTGATGTTTTGCTCTCACATCAATGTTTCTCTCCCTCTCTCTTCCTCTCTAAACATCAATAAAAAATGTTTTTTAAAAATTTCAGTTTTCTCAGGTTTGAAAAAGCATTTTAAGAAAGTCATGGTGAGCAAATGATATAGATTGAATTGCAGTGTTATGAAATGCAAAGAAAAACATGTCAGAAATGTTGATCACCTGTTTGCTAAGGGCTGCTTCTTGCCTTTTCAAAACAGATGCCTCTCAATCTTACCAACGCTGTGGCCACAGCCAGACAATTGCTGGCATACACCGTGGAAGCAGCCAACTTTTCTGACAAGATGGATGTTATATTTGTGGCTGAAATGATAGAAAAATTTGGAAGATTTACCAAAGAGGAAAAATCAAAAGAGGTATTTTTCTAGTTCCATTTGGGTAGCAGATAGCAAGTCAATAAATGGTCATGTGATAGCGTTGAATCTCTGTTTTTAAAGCCTGTTTATGTTTGCTGGATTTGAACTAAATAAATACATTTTTCATGTTGAAAACCATCATTCAGAAACGTATGCTCTGTTAGTGACCTGAGTTGGGAGACTAGATGAGAATGGTCCGTTCTTGGGATGAAGGCACTTAGAGCAGAGCCTTCCTGTGAGGAAGTTCAGCCAGGGCTGCTCGTTTGAGGTTTCCAGATTGTTCTTCTCCACACAGCGCCCATTCATTCTTCTTAATAATGTTTAGTCACCCAGATTGTGTTAAATTACTCAGTTCCTTTTGTAATGTCCTGGAGAAATGCACAACTGTTCTGGGCAGTTTCTTAAAATTTCGAATGATTCGAATAGATGAGTTATGGACACTTAGTAGCTTTGAAAAGGAATACATTTTAACGGGACCATATTAAAACTATGACATGTGCCCTGGCCAGTTTGGCTCAGCGGTTAGAGCGTCGGCCTGCGGACCAGAGAGACCCGGGTTCGCTTCCCGCTAAGGGTACGTACCTCGGTTGCAGTTTGTCCCCGGCCCCATTTGGGGTCGTGTGGGTGGCAACCAGTCGATGTGTCTCTCTCACATCGATGTTTCTCTCTCTCTCTTCCTCCCTCTCTCCCTCCTGCTCTGTCTGGAGATACATGCAAAAATGTCCTCAGTGAGGATAAAAGAAACAAAAAAACTATGACATGCTTGTCCACAAAATATACTTTAGGGGCAATCACTGACAGCAGCCGTTTTCAGAATGAATGGGCAGCAAATCATGCTTTCAACGAGTCTGAAGACGCAGATTAACCATTGTTAAGCTTTACGTTTCCAGCTTTGTGAGAACTTTACATGCACTTTCTTCTGTGATAGAATCATGTATACAAGAATGAATTTTAGAGATAGAAGACACCTACATCAAGTCCTAAACTGAAGCCCCAAGATTTTAAACAGTTTAGCCAAGGTTATACAGCTCGGATAGGGCAGGGCTGTATAGACAGAAGCCAGGAGCCTTGGCTGCCTAACGCAAAAATTCCTGTAGTTTCCATGTACTTTCTAGGACATGCTGCCCTGTCATGATATTTCAGGAGTGCTCAGTGTACAGCTGTGGGGGAAACACTGTGCTGACCGAAGTCTACACTACACGTAGGACACTCAGATTCATGAACAGGTTCAAAGATGAAAAATAAGCCTTGTTTTCCTAAACCATTTAAGCAAGGAAAGGTTTTGGTAGAATGTCTATTTGTGTCTTGCATTTCGGAGACGAGATTGGAAAGGGCAGCCCCCGTACACAGGGCCCTGGACCGGTATGACCTAGCTACGAAAGGAAGGCAGACAGACGTGTATGTAAATGGGACTCAGGTAAACACGCCGCTTGATGAGACAGCATTTCAGTGCTGTTATCTGAACTCCAGACCACAGTTTTGCAATGAACTGACCTGCTGTTATGCCCTGGGTTGCAGCCGGCTCTCTGGAAGCTTCCCCAGCCCTGGGAGAGGCTGTCTGGGTTCTGGCTCTGTGGTGATACTGCTCTCCATTGTTGACTATAATCACAGTGTAGCTGCCCACATGACTACAAGGCATTCATGGAAGTGGGATGTTTCGAGTCACTTGAATAATTGGAGTGACATCTGGAATGTGGACACCGAGAAAGAGTTCACCATCATGGGACATGTATTTATTCCCGCGCCTCTGTTTTGCTGTGAGGGACCTTTGCTCCCCTCCCAGCTCGTGGAAAGCGAAGCGTCGCTCGGACGTGTAGATTTCAGCGTTCGCCAGTGTGTGGTGGGAATGGTCTGCCGCTTGGGAATGTGCTTAGGGGAACGTGTCCTGTTGATGACCACAAGTAATCATGTTAATTAACCATGCGTGGGCCCTTTATTTTAAAAAAATGGGGACGATTCTTGCCCGGCTCAAATTGCAAAATATGTGTGCGCAAGTGAGAAAATGCAGGTGGAAGTGTTTTGTACGACGGCTGCAAAGCGAGGATGTGATTTTGTGGGGTAGGAAATTGAATGTTCTTATGATCTCGGAAGCTAAGAATGAGGTCGTTAAAAAAAAATATGTCAGTGCTTTAGTGACTTCTGTAAAGACTTAGTTTGGTGTGGATTGCTGTTACTGGCTGACATGGGGGTAACGTTCGAATTGCCTTGGGAAACGTGACAGCAACTAATTATTAAGTACAAATAGAAACAGAGGAAAAATATTCAGGACTGAATAAATGAAGTATAAATGTGACTCTTTGGAAAGTTAGACTGGAAGCCATAGTTTTCCCCATTCATTAGTATATTCAAATAAAATCATGAGGATTACTTAAAGGAGGCATCATTTTAAGTTGATTACAAGAAAATTATGCTAAGATGTCTTTTTTTTTTTTTTAATCCTCACCCAAGGATACTTTTTCCATTTAATTTCAGAGTGCGAGGGAGGGAGAGAGAGAAAGAGAGAGAGAGAGATCGATGTGAGAGACACATTGATTGGCCGCCTCCTGCAGGACCCCAGCCAGGACCTGGGACTGAACGGCAACCAAGGTACATGTGCCTGACCGGAATCTACGACTCTTTGGTCCACGGGTAGGCACTCTAACCAATGAGCCAAATCGGCTAGGGCTATGCTAAGGTATCTTAAAATGCATGTAGCTTTATTGGACAAATAATTACACTGATTCTTGTTTTATATCCAAAAACTCACCCTGCTATGGTTAATTTCTTGGCTGAAATATTGTGAAGCGGTTGCCATTTAACCTGGAACTGGATCTAGCCGACACAAGCGGCTACTCTGTGGTTAGGAGAGTAAAAGCTACCAAGCAGCCAGGTCTGGGTGGTGTGTTCCATATTTGGGGAGCGAAGAAAACATCAGCATCCGTTTCCGAAGCTGAGCAGGTATTGGAGATGAGGGCCGGCTGTGGGGTCCCCCTTACCCTGCGCTAGTTCAGTGAGCTGCCCCAGGCTCCTGTACTACAAAGCACACTTGGCACATTTTTATATACAGGTTTAAAAAAAAAAGTTGAGTTCTTTCATCATGTATTCCTTTTAAAATGTAATCACTTCTGTATCAGTTGTTAGGGTTTTTGTCTTTCACTGTTTCTGATTTTTTTTTGATCTTGGGTGTCAGAGTTTTCTGTATTGTTCAACCTTTGCAGAGACCCAGCCGCTGGCTCTGTGATCCTTGTCAGACACGGCCTCTCATACTTGACCGCCTCCCGGTGACCTGGGGCTGTGCTGAGCACCTTCCGTCCAGTGCAGTTCCCGCGGTGCGGGGCAGCCAGCCCCTGAGAAAGGCTGTGAGAACCGCCAGAGTATGGTCATGCTCTCTACTTTTCTAGTTAACATTTTTCCCCACTTTGGGTTAAACTTTCTAGAAACTTTTTTTATTAGAAAATCCTGAAAGTATAGGAGAGTATTTTTATTAATACCTATGTTATATCTTTCACCTTCAACAACTTTTAATATTTGCCATTTGTATTTCTTTCATTCATTTATTTCCTCTGTCCTCCATCTTCCTCTTCGTTTTCCTCTTCCCCTTCCCTCCATTTGTTCATTCCCTCCCTCCTGCCCTTCCTTCCTCCCTCCTCCCCCACCCCCTTCTCTTTCTTTCTTTCTCACTGCTGGGTCATTTAATAGTGAATTCAGGATGTCATACTTTATCCATAATTTTTCTACAACATGAGGATTTTAAAATAGAACCATGATATTATTGTTGTCACCAAAATGAGCTGTAAGTCCTTAATATCATCAAATATCTAGTCCATGTTTTATTATGATTTTCTTTTATTGATTGATTGATTTTAGAGAGGTGGAGAGAGAGAGAGAAAGAGGAAGGGGGTAGAGAGAGAGAGAGAGACAGACAGACAGACATTGATTTGTTGTTCCACTTATTTATGCTTCCATTGGCTGATTCTTGTTTGTGCCCGGAACAGGGATCAAACCCGAAACTTTGGCAGACCGGGATGATGCTCTAACCAGCTGAGCTCCTTGGCCAGGCCGATTAAGATTTTTGATAGTGTAGATCCTGTCTGACTACCTCATGGAATTCATCCACAGAAGTTTGCAGTTGTTCTGTGGGATTTTTTTAGACAGACCGTTATGTCACCAGCAAATAATCAATTTTTCTGTTCCTATATAAAATGTGGTTTTGTGTTTTTTGTTTTTTTTTTCTGGTTATGTGTTGGTGAGGACCTCAGAACAATGTTGATTAATGTTGGTGATGAGGTATATTAACGAGAATGGTCTAATTTATTGTCATTAAGTGTGATATGTTTGCTTCTGTCAACTGTTTGGGGACAATACCAGGGTAACTGGCCGCTTTGAAATTAGTTCTACCCGGCCAATGTGGCTCAGTGGTTGAGCATTGTCCATGCACCAAGAGGTCGCCAGTTCAGTTCTGGGTCAGGGCACATGCCTGGGTTTTGGGCTCGAACCCAGGAACGGGTGTACAGGAGGCAGCCAATTGATGTTTCTATCTCTCTCTCCCTTTCCCTTCCTCTCTCCTTAAAAAAATTTTTTTTCTCTTGATTTTAGAGAGAGAGGAAAGGAGAGAGAGAGAGAGAAACATCGATGAGAGGGAACATCGATTTTCTGCCTCCTGCATACCCCCTACTGGGGATTTGGCCCACAACCTGGGCATGTACCCTGACTGGGAATTGAACCAGTGACCTCTTGGTGCATGGGTCAGTGCTTAACCACTGAACCACACCAGCCAAGCTCCCTTCCTCTCTCTTAAAACAAACAAAACAAATCCATTCAAAAAAGACATGTTAAAAAAAGAAATTAATCCTCAGCTTGAGGACTGAGAAATTAATCCTCAGCTGAGTCTGTGGACTCAGACCCGTGTGAAGGTCCACTTGTGTTGACAAGTCATCAGGGAAGAGAGATTTTTTACTTTCTCCCACCTTGAGCCAAAGGCAAGCCAGGCAAGTTTCAAGTTTCCCATGAGGCTGATTTGG